ACAAACCCAGACTAACCCAGACTAACCCAGACTAACCCAGGATAAACCAGGATAACCCTGACAAACCCAGACTAACCCAGACTTACCCAGACTAACCCAGGATAACCCAGGGTAAACCAGACTAACCTAGGATAAACCAGGATAAACCAGGATAAACAAGACTAACCCAGGATAACCCAGGATAACCCAGACTAACCCAGGATAACCCAGGATAACCCAGACTAACTCAGGATAAACCAGACTAACACAAACTAACCCAGACTAACCCAGGATAAAACAAGGATGAACCAGACTAACCCAGACTAACCCACGGCAAACCAGGATAAACCAGACTAACCCAGGATAAACCAGGATAAACCAGACTTACCCAAGATAACCCAGGATTAACCACACTAACCCAGACTAACCCAGACTAACCCAGGATAAAACCAGACTAACCCAGGATAAACTAGACTAACCAGACTCACCCAGGATAAACCAGGATAAACCAGACTAACCCAGGATAAACCAGACTAACCCAGGATAACCCAGGAAAACTAGACTAACCCAGACNCCAGACTCACCCAGGATAAACCAGGATAAACCAGACTAACCCAGGATAAACCAGACTAACCCAGGATAACCCAGGAAAACTAGACTAACCCAGACTCACCCAGGATAAACCAGGATAAACCAGACTAACCCAGGATAATCAGACTAACCCAGGATAACCCAGGATAACCCAGACTAACCCAGGATAAAACAGGATAAACCACACACTGATTAAACGACAGTAAGTTAAACCAGGCGGACCCAGGATAAGGTGGATCAGCAACAGAAACAGGCAAAATGAGGAGAAGCATGACAAACAAAGCCAAAACTAACTCAGGTGAATCTGACCAAAGCAGGTGAACCTGAGATAATTAGTGCTACCTGAAGGTGTCGACTCTTCAGGTCCATACCGACCATCCTGACGACCGGAACAGACTGAGCCGAGAGAGAAGCCCACCTGCAGTTTACCTGCTCAGACTCCTCCTACTTGAATCTACCTGTCTCTCGCTCTCATTACCTGTGCCTTCATGCAGTCACTTATCACAGCCCACCTGGATTAACCTGCAGCGCTGCAGTCATCAGTTTGGTCGCTGAAGTTGTTTTGTTGAAGAGCTTAACAGCAGCTTAAGAGTTTATAAGTTCAATCCAGCTCCAACATTTCTGTACATCCAGGTGTTCTCCAGGTGTTCTCCAGGTGATATCAGGTTCAGCACACACACTTCTCATCTTTTAGACATGATACATTCTGTGGCAAAACTATTTTCTAATATTTTCATATTTTAACGCTCACAAGATGTCAGACTGAAGATTGTGTTTCCTGAGTGGACTCAAAGCCTGACAGCTGCTGCAGCATCATGAGCCATCGTCACTGTTCACAGTCTGAAGATGAAGCAGAACAACGTGACAGAACCAGAACTGAACTCTGCTGCAAACTGCTTTATTACTGTAGTTTCTGTGTCAAACAGCCACAAAATACATTCGCTAGAGTTAAAACATGAACCTATGACAAAATGATTTAGAGTGGATGTTGTCTATTAGAGCAGTGGTCTCCAACCACTGGGCTGCGGACCGGGACCAGGCAGTGGGTCATTTGGTACCGGGCTGCACGGAAAGAATAAAAATGTTTTATTGGTGTATTTTATTTGCAAGGTGTTTTACTTTGAAAAATGACTAGCTCGTGTCCTGTCACTCGACGAAACTGAGCTGTTAATCTGAATAAAAGAACAAACGTCTGTGGAGCTGCTTAGAAAAACGGATTATTGTTTATTATGTGTGCGATGGCTGGTTCAGACCCACAGACTGTATAACAGATGGACGTAGCTGCCGTGACGTCACCCGTTGGTTTCTGCTCTGAGAACATGAAGCCAGGGTTTTGCTACTTCCTGGTTGACATCTTGGATTTTTGGAGCCAGTGATGCAAAAATCGTGGGAGGGGGGCGGAGCCAGAGGAGCAGCGATTGGTCAGACGGATTGAGAGGCGGGCCCTCTCTGCCCGCCCACATTTACCGCCTTCTGCTCGCTTCGTCTGTATGGTCGCTGCCGACTGTCAATCAAGCCAGCCACGCCCCTTGAGCCGCAAAATGTTGACGATGTTTTAAAAATTCAGTATTGATTTATTCTCAGATTGACCACCTGGTCTCTGGATCTGACCATGAAAACTAATAAGAAAACAATCCTGAGCTGTAGGAATGCAGTATTTGGTGATCTGTGATCACTTCTCTTCCAGTTCCAGTCTATGGGAGCCAGGGCTTTGTGGAGCCAGCAGCTAGTGGACGTAGTGATGCTGCAGGTTTCTGACACTTCTGGGTTGGATTCAGTTTCAGGGCCGGTTGCTACGTCCATCTGTTATACAGTCTATGGTTCGTAGAAAACTGTCTTGATTGAAACTGGTCCGTGGTGCAAAAAGGTTGGAGACCGTTGAATTGAAGTGTTGCGATGCCATGTGGGCGGAGCCTGTGTTATTATGATAATGAATATTGATACTGCAGCCTCTTTAGCTCCGCCCCCTGACCTCGTGAGGTGTCCGGTCCCGCGGCAGGTGTTGGTTCGCCCAGCCGCTCAGCTGATCTTTGGTGACGTGAACGATTGGCCCTCTGGAGCTCCGCCTCACCAGGTGACGTCGAACCGCAGGAATGTCGTCCAATCTGTGACCTGAGGGGGCGGAGTATCAGATGAGGGCGGAGTCAGAGCAAAGACCATGGCTGTGTCCCAAATCCCTCCCTATCCCTCCAGAGTGCTCCATATGGGCTGATCGCCATTCTGTAGGGGTGTCTGAATGCTACAGCCTGTATAGTCACTCCAAATATCCCACAATGCACCGTGAACTGTAGCGTGCAGCCGATGGTCACTAACCAGCGATATGGACCGCCATGCACTGCACGAAAGGAAACGGAAACTAGATGAACGAGAACTTGCGGCGCTGGGTTGTGATGTGGACAGACTGCACCACTTCATTTAAACTGCTTTAAGTTAGTGGATCCTGAAGAAACGCTCCCATCTGGTATGTACAGCAAAATGACAATAAACCGGATTTAGTTTGGTTTCTTAGCTACGCAATAAACTGTGAATCTGATGTGTTTGTACGACGCTGTTGTGGCACAAATCACAGCCAGCGAGCGACGTCATTAACAGTCTGAAGTGTCAGTTTGCCGAGGTGCTCCCCACACAGGGATCCATTTATGGGGGGAGGGAGTGGATGACTTCAGACACTCATCCCACATCACTGTTGCTTATTCAGACCAGTTTATCAACGTCAGGAAACATCACTGGTCCGACCTGATGGAGGTTATTATTTAAACCTTATATATACGTTCACGCAACGTTCGCTCAGCGTTTACTTGGAGTCCACGCCAAACTGACACCACGTTAAACAGATAAAACAGCAGCACGGACCCACAAAACGACTCCAAACAAACACCAAGAGACACAAAACAGCAACAAAGAGGCACAAAATGAACACAATCAGTGTAACAGAGACGGACCACAAACTCAGACAGAACCAGAACCAGTCCGTCTGAACCGGACGTCAACAAGTGGTCTGTGTTTCTGCTTTTAGTTCAAACTGATGGACAGCAAGTGGAGATCAGCAACCAACATCTGGATCATCTACAAACAGCAGCTACCTGCTCTGGGTTCTGTTCCTCAACAGTTCTGGTTCTGGACCAGCAGCTCATTTATTCTCATGAATCCTCTGAATGTGCAGCTGCTCTGTTCTGAGGGTCTCAGTAGAAAACTGCAGATTCCAGAGGTTTCATCTGCTGCTGGTGGTTTATGTTCATTTAAGGTCACTCAGAGCTCTGAGGAACATCTAGAACGTCCACTGAGAACCTGCTGGTTTTAATGACTTGAGTCCAGCAGGATCTTCTGCGTTTCAGTGGTTCACCTGATTGTTTATGAACACAGTTAGAAGCAGCTGCAGCTTCACCTGAGCTACCTGTGAACAGGTGAGTGTCCTCACAGGTGAACTGAACTCTGTCAGGGTCTCACGGGAACTTTCTGCTGCTTAACAGGATTTCAGGCTCCAATGGAGAACAAGAACACAAGAGACTGATCCAATCAGAACCAACACACACACACACACACACACACACACACACAGGTGGGTTCTTGCTGAAGCTTCAGGTTTCAGGTAAAATGTGATTTTCTGTTTCATTTCTACTTTTCTGGGGAAAACAATCAACAGCCAATCACATTCCAGCAGTGAGTCAGCTGACCTCCACCTGCTGTCAGGTAACAACAGAGTTCAACCCCAGCAGCAACACAAACAGTGTCACAGCCACCTGCACAGAACCACACAACAGACCAACAAACTGCTCATCAGCATGTTCCTGCTGCGCCTCACTTCCTGCTCAGGCCTCTTCAAAATAAAACAAAACCAGCTCATATGTTGTTTGTCTGCTGTTTCTGATTCTTTGCTTTCTGGAATCATCTCGCGGAGCCACATGTTGTGTTTACAAAGACAACTTTGACCTTCATGTGACCAGAACTGCAGCTTGTGGCAGGTTCTGTGGCTGCAGGAGAACAGAAGGTTCTGATCAAAGTTCAACTCACGGAAACCTCATCAGGTGTTTTTGGACAGAAGATCCTCTGAATGCAACATCTTCAGAAGAGAATAAATATCATCAAGAAGCCTCTCAAGCTCTAAAACGATGTTTTTAATGACGTGGGTTTTATATTTAAATATACACCAGAGTGCAGGCAACGTGGAACAAACAGCTGAAGGTTCTGGACTTTACTCTGAACTGATCCGCTCTGAAAACCTGAGCTCTGGAGAACGCTCTGAAATTATCCAACGACACCGTCCTGCTCTGAGCAGGCCAGCGTGTCCTGAACTTCAGGTCAAAGTTGAAACTCTGCGTGCAGGTGAGCTGCAGGTGAAACAGTCTGTAAAGAAACAGAAGCTACTCACTGAGATCAGCCTTCAGCCTCAAACACCTGATCACAGCCAGAGCACGGACCGGACCAGGACCAGGACCAGACCAGACCAGGACCACAGTAACAATAGACTGAGGCAGTGGGCGGCCGTGGAGGCAGCAGCATTGTGTTCAGGTCAGCAGTAGCTTCAGTCACGTGATCGACAGCAGCCAGTGACAGAAAACTCTTTCATGTCTGACAGAATTCCTTCAGGAGACGAAGTGACGCCAAGTGGCCCAGTGCATGCTGGGAAAGAACTCCTCCTGAAGCTCAGACTAACGCCACAACTCTGCAGCTGCTTCCATCTTTATGAGCACCCTGTGACGCTAGCATCACTGTTTACCATGTTCACTAGGCTAGTGTTATAATTAAGTATGATTCAAGCTATTATGTGTTTTGAGTCTGTATTTTTCCATGATTCCTATGGTTCTTATAATCAATTAAGATTCAAGTTATTATGTATTCTGAGTTTGTATTTTGTGCTGAGCTTATGTCCTTGAAGATAATGTGTCCG